TTACTTTACTTCCACTGTAATGATGCTATAAATAGGGATAACGTCAGGGGATGACTGGTATAATTGGGTAAGTTCCTGATTGCATGGGTTTCACGGAGATATAGTGAAAAGACAAGAGTGAGTGAGTCACGTGTGGATGCGAGATCTGGGGGATTGAGAATGAGGTGGTCATTCGGTGACTGGGCCCCAGACTGGAAGGATGTGAAGCTGAATCTGTGTAGGTGAATCCAAAGTGAAGAGTGCACGTGGATCTGAATCAGAGCCGAATGAATGTTAGCGCTGAACGACAAGACAGGCAGCGCTATTGAATGATCGTTTAGGCCAGCCGTTGTGTTACACGGTTTGTTTGTTGAGCCAGTCGTTTACATGCCAGTGTCCATCGTCTGAAGCATGTCTGGAGACTCAATGCGTGAGCAAGGCGAGATTGCCCGAATGGCGTAAGTTAGTTCATCTGTTGATTCGTGTCTTGTGCTGCATTGAAAATAAACCTGTGAAATGTGTCAGCTGTTGTCGACCGTCATTTGAAGTTGTGTGGCCGTGGAGAGAAGTGCCGTCTGGTTAGAATGAACTGTGACCTACCATCTAGACAACAGAGTCAGTGTTGAATCTGCACTAGAAAGATCAAATGTGGAGGAGACACATTACATTAATTACATCCACTATTCTAATCCACAACCCTCTGCTTACTGAATGCGTTGAGTTGAGTCAAGAACTGACATCACGGCACTCGGGGCATTCCCATGCATACTCTGTCCTCATCTTTAGCAGCAAGCGCAGAGATCCAATACTCATGGTACTAGTCAAAATCTGGTTATATGTCCGTTTTGCCTTTCCTCTGAGGGTAGTGAGCCGGCCAGACCCTCTGGTTACACCCAGATGCCTCATTCTCTCCAGACCATAATAATCTTCTATCTCTACTGATTCCGTTGCTTGTTCCCAAAGGGCCTTGACCGCATCCGCCTTGTCATCCATTGCTTACTGACTGAGAAACGCATGAATGGGTAGCTGCAAGATGATTTTTTTACAAGGACTTTACATTTGCGTGGTGAATTTTTATTTATCAGTTGAGCATCATTTGCATATCCTTTAAGGGCAATGCAAACCAACTTAAGCATTTATCGGCTGTCTGTAGTGTGGGGTTGAGGGTATCAAGATAAGATATAAAACCGAACAAAAAGTATATCAGCAAGCTTCACAATACAACAAAAACAAACAAAACGTGAACGTTGCGGCTATGGAGCCTTCATTAGCACATACATAAATAAAGCAATACTTGAGGGTAAAGGGCGCAATGTCATTTTTTTTAAAGTTATTTTGCTCGAACCAGAGTTGGGCAACCCCCCCCCCCCCCTCTATTCCCTATCACTCCGCCCTTGAACATGCAACTATCAAATTATGTGTCTGTGGTCTTGCATCAAAGAAAGACTCAAGAGAAGGCGCCAGTACACGAAATAATACCTCACAACAGAGTAAGATTATAGCAGTACAGCATAACTGTCTACGCCCGTGATTCCCAAACTGTGCGTCGCGGTGGCCCCGGGGAGCCGCGACCTCTTCACAGGGGCGCTGCGACCTCTTCACAGGGGCGCCACGAAATATTTGAAGATACGCGGGTTTTATTTTTTCTATCCCTTACATACGAATAGTCATACTTTTACTTAGGTTAGGGCGCCGTGGAAATATTTTAATTTAAAAAAAGGTGCGACCAAAACAAAAAAAGTTATGGAAACACTGGTCTACGCCATTCGGCACAGTCTACATCAGGCAGGGGTGTTTAGGTATACCCCATCCCCCCCCCACCTCCAGTCGTGAGAATGGGAACAATTTTGACAATCAAAGTCGCTGACATTAGAGGAACCACAAAGACGTAAACTCGCCCCCGTACCAATGCAAACATAATCAGAAAATGAATCCCTTGAACTCACAAGTACATCAACCCACATTGAGAAGCTTCAAAGTTCACCAGGTAACACGAAACTATCGCACGGTCACGTTCCGAGTTAGCTAACCCTCATTAACCTTTTACCTGATCGTTAAAGAATTTCACACCTGCAATCTGCAAGGTCACAATGACTGAATTTTCAGGTCTTAACTGTAATGCTTCTTTCTTATACGAGTTTCAATGATCTCTTCCCCCCCCCCCCCGCAAGCATACACACACACACACAATCAGGCAGCGCGACCAGTAAAATACAATAACGAATAACAAAATGAACACTGGGGTTAGTCTTTATCGACATATAACGATATGGAACAACTGTACAAAACTTCTGCGCTGACCCTTGTGTTGTAGTTTACACAGCTAGGCAATCCGACCCAACACATCCGATTTCATCGTACCACATGCATCTTGGGGAGGCAGTGTCTCTATTCTCGTTGTCACACAATGGGGTCACGGAACCCACTCGGGGGTCTATATAAGTGTACAGTAGCCTGCGAACACCACGCCCCACCAAGTCTATCTAATATAAACACTGTTTCAGAGTCCCTGTACTGACAGGACAGCTCATGTACAGAACCAAGTAGCTTTACTGGGACACAGGGCTACCAATGCTGGGTTTTCCCCCAGATCTAGTTTTTTTTTAACGCCGGGGGGAAATCTGGTTAAAAATATATATATATATATAAATATATATATATATATATATATATATATATATATATATATATATATATATATCCTTATATAAAAGTAGCAAATGTTTCGTTTCGTAAATATAAATTTTGTACATTTTAACAATATGGGGTTTTGTGTGTGTGTGTGTCTATGTATTGCTTGGGTTTTTGTTCAGCTAAGCTGGATTTTTCAAACAAATCCCACTGGCAGCCCTGCTCGGACAGCAGAATGTACAACGCCGCCCGGGCTATTGTCACAAAGCAAGCAGTCATTCCATTATGTACACTATACCAACAGCACGTACCCCCGCCAGTTTCCTGGTTTTTACTACAACCACATTCACCTTGGCTGGCACAGGTGTTATCTGTACACTGTTCAAGAATAAGTATCACCAAGTTTCACCAGCAATTTAAGCCACAAACTTCTTACACTTTACAAGCAATGTAGAATTAGGAACGAAAACAGCCAGGAGGAGGAAACAGGAGTAGAAGGAGGATAAGAAGAAGAAGAGGAAGAAGAATAAGAAAAAGAAGAGAAGAGGGAGGAGGAGGAGCAGCCAGATGAGGAATGAAGGTGGGAAATAAAAGGACTTGGGTTTAAACTGACTTGAAAAACATCACATACAACATTTAACACACATTAAATACCAAACAACTATCTAAGCGTTTTCTTCTTCTTCGGTTTTGTCATTTAGGTTACACACGTACTTTTCTGAGCTTCTTGTCTCTTCCAGTTGTTGGACTAGCTCGCGCCGACATAAAAATAATATCACCTCCATCTGTCACAATCTGTTAATTAAATGCCAACAACATCTTAATCGTGTACATTCTGGGACATCATGGAGGGTGGGGGGGGGGGGGGGAGAGACTCGCTGACCCTAACAAGTAACTCATGAAATATAACCAAACAGAGGTGTTTCCTTCATCGTGCATCTGCCCCCCAAAAGTGAGGAACAAACATTCTGCATACAAACAGGGCACATTTATAAAATAAACATGCACACAAAACTCAAGTTCTGGGACAGGAGCAAAGACCAGAAGTGGATGAACAATCAGAACTTTTCACAGTAGTCTAAAGCAGATGAATGCTAATAATAATAATAATAATATGAAGAAGAGGAAGAAAAAGAAGAGGAAAAACCCATAGACTCAAACAATCATTGGTACTTTTTTTAAAGTCACCCCAAACAAAGGAAATCAAGGAGTTTCAGGGAAAGTCCAATATTCGAGGGGTATTATGAGTGGGGTTAGGGTCTGGATATTTTTGGCCACCATAATATGTGCCCGTTATTCGGAGGATAGCCAATTACAGTTAAAGTAGCAATACATTAGGACAGATCAGGGTTCTTTATTAATGACGTCACAGGACAGTCCAACATTTTAGAGGGTGGTAGGACTGGGTTTCCCGGCTTTCTAATGCTTTTATTGACCCTTAAAGGTCTAGAACTGGCCCTAACCCACCTATGTCCCACGAGAGAGTGCAGCCTAGGTCCCACGACTGCATGCAGCCTATCTAGCACCCCCTGAAATATTAGACTGTCCCGTGACTTGTGGATTTCCCGTTTTGGGTAGGATATTAATAAAGCACCAAGAATCAGTTAATGTGACACCTGCTGGGCCTTACAGAATTAGCAAGCACAGATAGACTGATAAACAGACCATTTTGGGGACAATCTATATTTGAGTGACTGCAATATGTTCTCAGGTGAGCATACGCGGGAGCACTGTATGTGGTGTGTTTATGTGTGTACGCGGGCGTACCAGTGTGCGTAAAATAACTGTGTTCCGAAATAGACAATACAGTTTGCTTTTTTGGATGATTTGTTTGCCTTGGTCTATAACAGTAACCTATTCAATCACAAGGAAAGTTCTTGTTAGCTACACATCCAGCGATACCTAGTTACATCGGTTAAACAATCTCTCCCTCCCTATTACCCTCTCCTTTCCTTCTACAGAGTAACTGATTAATTGGCAACGACAGTCTTGTAATAGTGATACACACATATGCCCCCCTTCCCTTTCTCAAAGTCTTACTGATTAAATGGAACGGGTGTTGTTGTACTAGTGGTACATAAATATGTTCTCTTAGTACGTTACCAACAGCAAGTATGACAGAAACAGGTTCTTTATTTTTAAGTCACCACATCACATTTTGAGATTTGGTAGGGAATTCCCAGGGGTTTCCCAGGACATTAACATATAATGGGAGTTGGAGGGGGGGGGGGGGTTAGGGTTAGGGTTAAATAAATATCAACTACTACTAAGCCTAACCCCAACGTCAACTATACTATGGGAGGTTCTGGGGATTTCCTTACCAAATCTTGAAGCCAATCTGATGTGGTGACTCAAGAATAAAGAACCCCGAAACAATGAACACAACTAACCTCCGGGCAGGTACTCCATGATGAGGTACAAACACCCAGTGTCTTGAAAGGAGTAGTACATTTTGACAACCCACTGATGGTCGGCCTCTGCCAGGATATCCCGCTCGGCTCGCACATGCGCAATCTGTTCATTCAGAAGAACCGTGAGTTAGGTTTTAAATTATAAATCAGTTTGGGTCATATATTCATTTACACACACACGTGGTGGGGGGGGGGGGGGGGGGGGGGTGTGGGGGGGGGGTATGGGGGGGGGGGGGGGGGGGGGACACTATTCATTTTACTCAGCACAGATCATAATCACTGACCGCACGTGGTGCAAGCCCCGTAAGTGCTCAGTCTCCTTCCAAATCTGGTTTCTTTCTTTTTCTAAAAATGTGTTTACACTGATGTCTCCCAAATACTAACACGGTCCTATACACATTTCCTGGTCCATCTACACACTGGCTGACTTTTCATTCATACTTTCTCAGACTGTTCTACGTCAGAGGGGTGTCACATTGTCTTGCCTCCAATTACATCAGGGCCAATGTCACGTGTTCTATACTACACAATGACGCAGCTTCTAACGATCCCAGAACATCTAGAACTGGTGCTAAACCCCCCCCCCCCCCCCCCCACAATCTAAGCCTAAGTCCCACGAGAAACTCCTTTCGAAGAAAATAATACAATGTGACACCCCTCTGACCTAGACCAGACTGAACAAGTGTGTAGATGGCCCGGGAAATGTGAACAGGACCACTAACACTAATTGAAATAACAGCAATTTCTGAGGGAAGAGGAGGGGGGGGGGGGGGGGGGGGGGGGGGTTGTCCTCCGGTGCAAAGTGGTAAAGTCGTTTGTCACGTGATCAGAAGGCTGTGGATACATTTTACGGCTGGGTCATTGGGGTCAAGAGTGTAAATATTTACAGAGATCTAGACTGCTGGTTGGATCCTGGGAGTTCCTGCTATGTGCAATGCTCTCCGCAGACGGCTATCTGTTGTACAGGGAGAGATCCAGACATGTCAGATAAAATCCGGTGCCCTGAAGTCGATCCTCTCGCCTTTAGTAATAGAAATTAATCTACCTATCTAATGTCTTTCTGTGTTTAATTCTGTTAAGCATCGCAGGTAGGGCTAATGATCTGTTTTCGGAATAGAAATAAATGAACGAGTGAAACAGGAAATGACAGCATCACACTGAGGATTCACAATTTGTGCTCAGTCCTTTTCTTTAGTCGCCAATAAAAAGCTCTCATGCTGATAGTGTCAATGGAAAGTTAATTAAAGCCTTTCCCCTGTGGGTTGTAAAGTATTGACCGTCTGTTCTTGTTCAATGAGGATAATCTGTCAATTAACTAACAACAGTAGGTTTTCTTTAGTATATAGCTGTTAGTGTTCTAAATTATACAGCTTTAGATTTTCTATATATGGCTGAACACCTTCAGATATGACTTTTTAAGTGATATTTTCAACCCAGAGGGATGCAATAACTTGGTACTTTTCAAATCAGCTTCAAATTCTCCACAGTATATTTTCAATCCTCAGTACAGTCCTGACATCACAGAGAGCCCCAGGCAAACCCACAGAAGACCCAGCTCCTTCGGCAGGATGCAGAGGTTGAGCGTCCTATGAGTCTGCTGGTTGTGAACACTTGTGAATCATCCTCTCAGACATCCGTTTGTCGGAAATATACTTGAATCAAAACACTATGCACTTTTAAACAGGCCAGTTGACCTGTTGTTATTTTCTCCGTGTTGGTGTGGTTAAGCTGGTTACTTCCTGCTTTGGGCTCCGTTCAGACTCAGTCATTAGATTTCTAAGTTAGGGTTAGTCAGTCGATAGATTATCCTCAATGTACCTCAAACCGTTTAATCCACAAGTGCTTCGATCCCTCCCTCCGTACATCCCACAGGGTGTAGTGGCTGGTGAAACCAGTTCTGTGTTGGTTTCTTATTCATCTTTAGCTTCCTATCCGGCCACACCCATTTTAACTTGCTGTTCTTGCAGTTTGGCCATGGTTGCAGAGACACAGTCACTTGGTTCTCCCAAACGTTCTACTTCTTGTGTATCCTTCAGTATATCAGCCTGGTCCATGGCTCGTGCGCCCGTCACAGTAGTGAAGTACTTGCACTCTCTTTGGACCCAGCTCCTCTATATCTTCCTGAACATATTAACAGAGTCAGTGAGAAAGTATGCACAGTTGAAAGTCTTGTCTCCAGCCATGTTATTGCTTAGGTCACTGCCAATGACCGTCATGATCAGACTGCTTGTTGCCAAAGCCAAAGCACCAGAATCTTGCTTCACAACTCTCCCTTCAACCTCAGCCAGAAAGTTGAGGTGCCCTGTGCTTCATGCTACGCTCTTGGTTCGTGATCAGCCACTCTGCGGAGAGAAATGGAACCATATGTGATCAATCCTGATGCACTTAAGTAGATCCCTTGTCACTGAAGCGTCCTCAAAAATCAACAATAAGGGTTGAAAAAGTCTTCACGATATCAACTGTATCCATTTTTTCAAGGTTAACCAGTGCTCTTGAAGGCAACAAACAGTTCAGTCAGTTATGTTCCACTCAACTTCAGTTTCCCTTAGCTGGTAAGTCTTTACTTAAGAAATAGGCGTAGGTATGCCTGGAACCCACACATGCCATATCCACTCATGTTAAAGTCATGAACAGTTTGTGACATCTACAAAACCTTCAAATGAGATCCCTACATCAGCGGGTCTCACGCTTCACCTCCTCTAAAGTTAACCGCACATCCGTTTCAGGAGGTTGCAGAACCAATCGGATCATTGTTTTGGCTGTCTATGATTTTTCTAGGTAATGTCATGTTCAGTAGTTTGCCCTGTCCAAATCAAACCGGGAATCTAGGACATACGAGCGTATTTGCAACTATAAGCTGTAGACAGGGAGGCACATGCTTTACAAGCCGGTGAAACAAATTACGTAATGTCTATACATAATTAGTAGCAGCTGCGGTTATGTAACAGTTGATGCTCTCACTTCGCAACAGTGGAAGAAAAAGACAAGAAGGTGACGCAGGTGAAGCAGGAGATGAAGAAGTGAAGAAAGAAAAGAAAGAAAGAAAGAAAGAAAAAAAAAGAAAGAAGAAGAAAGAAACGAAAGAAAGAAAGAAAGAAAGAAAGAAAGAAAGAAAGAAAGAAAGAAAGAAAGAAAGAAAAGAAAGAAAGAAAGAAAAGAAAGAAAGAAAGAAAGAGAAAGAAAGGAAAGAAAGAAAGAAAGAAAGAAAGAAGAAAGAAAGAAAGAAAGAAAGAAAGAAGAAAGAAGAAAAGAAAGAAAGAAAAAGAAAGAAAAAGAAAGAAAGAAAGAAAAGAAAGAAAGGAAAGAAAGAGAAGAAGGAAGAAGGAAGAAAGGAAGAAAGGAAGAAAGAAAGAAAGAAAGAAAGAAAGAAAGAAAGAAAGAAAGAAAGAAAGAAAGAAAGAAAGAAAGAAAGAAAGAGAGAAAGAAAGAGAGAGAGAAAGAAAGATAGAGAGAGAGAAAGAAAGATAGAGAGAGAGAAAGAAAGAAAGAAAGAAAGAAAGAAAGAAAGAAAGAAAGAAAGAAAGAAAGAAAGAAAGAAAGAAAGAAAGAAAGAAAGAAAGAAAGAAAGAAAGAAAGAAAGAAAGAAAGAAAGAAAGAAAGAATGAATGAATGCGTGGAGATGTTCAATCCATACACACTTCACAAGGAAAGAAAAAAACACACACACACATTCATAAATCAGGACGTCTCAGCATTCCTTTGCCCATAGCTCGGATCAGATTAATTTGACTCTACTCACTTTCTTCTCCAACCTGGCCACAGATGTCATGACCTACTGACTTATGCTCAACTCACCTGATCCTTTTCCACCATGTCGGCTTTCCTTAAGATCTTCATGGCATACACATGACCGGTATCTTTCTTCTGCACAAGCCGAACCTGCAATACAATAATAATAATAATAATAATAATATTAATAATGACAATCTAATAATAAGAACAAAATAGTACAAGTAATAATCCCCGTGTAGATTCCAGGACATCTGGGGTGGGGATGGGGGACTATATTCCCTGCCTTCTTACTCGAATGCTGTAGAAAATTAGTTGTGTGTCCTTGACAGGACGTTGCAGAACCAACCCCAGCATTACGCTGGGGCTGTTTGTTTTTTTGTAGGCGAATTTACGTTCAGTAGTTGGCCACTGCTTACTGAACGCTCAGTTCTCGATATCACTGTCAAAAAAGCAACGCAACGCGATCGGCTGCCAAACCCCCTGTAGATGTGTTCGAACCCGGCACCCCGCCATTAACAAGTGGGTTGGCAACACTTAAGCCACAGACGCCGACAAAATATTTATATTAATAATAATATTGCTTCCCACTCGTGTGTGGATTCTTTTCGTATTCACACTCATACCAAGTTCTAGAACAAGACTAAAGTCCGTAAGTAAACGAACAACCAGGATTTGTCACCGGAGTTTACTGATAGTGAACGGAAAGAATGAGAAGTATATATTAATAAACCTAGTTACTTAAGTTACTTAAATAATGGCTTCGGTTCTTTCATAATATCCTACCCCAGATGCTATCACAGGGCAGTCTAAAGCTTTAGAGGGTGGTAAGACTGGGTTTCCCGACTTTCTGATGCTTTTAATGACCCCAAAACTAACCCCAGCCCACCTATGTCCAACGAGTGAGTGCAGCCTAGGTCCCACGACAACATGCAGCCTAGGTCCCACGACTACATGCAGCCTAGGTCCCCACGACTGCATGCAGCCTAGGTTCCACGACTACACACAGCCTAGGTCCAACGACTACATGCAGCCTAGGTCCCACGACCTATCTACCACCCTCTGAAATATTATACTGTCCAGTGACATGTTGATTTCCACTGTTTAGGGTAGGATATTATGGAAGCACCAAAGCTTCTATTTAAATGATATCATCATCATCATCAGGTGCCTTGCTGACTGGCATAAGCGATCATGCCTTTCCACAAACCACGATCTCCTGCAGTATGTATCAATTCGTGTGCCGACACACCCCCATCCATGCAACAAGACTGTCAAGGGTCTTCTCTCGTTGTCTTTCTCGATCCCATCTTTCACAGATCTTTCTAGTGGTCGCACAAATTTCCATTTCAACTCCTTCTCGTAACATGGTCGAAAAAATGATGACTGTCTCCTTCTGATGTCTGTGATAAGTTGTCTTCGGGCTCCCGCCTCTTTCATAAACTCTTGGTTGCTCTTTTTGGCTGTCCAAGGTATTTTAAGCATTCTTCTGTAAAACCTTACCTCTGAGGCCTCAACCTAACGATTGTGCAGGACTCACAGCCATATGTTATATCAGTAATACATCTTCCATCTGATGTTATCCATGTGCCCAGATACTTACATTTCTGAACTTGTCCCAAAATAACATCATTGACTTTTATTACACATTTAGGAATAATTTTTTTCTTGGATATAACCATTACTTCTGTCTTCCAATTACTCAAACTGAGGCCCATTCTTCCACTTTCTACCACGACAATGTCGATCATTTCCTGTAGTTCAAATGATAATATACAGGTAATGTTATTTTTATTATCATCGTTCCCCTTCAAAAATTAACTATTCTGGTACTATGCACCTAGTACTCTTAGCATGCCAACTCTGCATTAGCTTCATTAGGAAGGAGACGGAGCACTTGTGGGAACATCCCGAGGTTAGTGATGTCAGTTCTGGATTTATTCATATTAACAATTCTTTGAAAATACCTTGAATTATAATTATACTGCTCCCATTACTATTTTAATATTATATTGCTCCCACCGTAAAAATAACTTCAATGATACTTTTAACTGTAATGTTTTCTAGCCGTAAAAGTAAAGTAAAGGACCCCTTTCCACGCCGTTAGGTGTATAGGGCATATAGGGCTAGACCTATATTTTTATAGACCAATCGGCACAAGATGGGTGATGTGGTCAACATCACGCCGGCCACCTTTACTTCCCGGAACTGCACCCGGTACCAACTCAAGGCTGGGTCGACCTGGGAGCCAAGGTCATTTTTGAAAAAAGTCCGGCTCCGCCAGGCAGCGAACCCACGACTTTCCGATCCGCGGCGAGCGTCTAGCCGCTCCGCCACGGGGAATCCCTTTCTAGCCATAGGTTAACCTCAACGTTACACACTTGACAGACACACACCCAATCAATATGACATTCTCTGGAGGACGTTGATCTGACCGCACACATCGTGACCTTGCACGAGTCGTCCTGCATGTTAAAGCCACATTACTCGGTCTCTGTAATGTCCCTTGTGACTGTCGTCCACTTGCCGGCTTTTCAAGTGCATTTCATGACAAGCATGCGCATATGCTTCCGCGCTTGTGCATACATCTTCATTTGAAAAAGCCTAATCAATCTCCAAAAGGGAAGCATAGGTGCTGGAACATCAAGGCCCATACTGGTCAAGACCTGCCTACGCTTCTCCACTATCATCGTAGGTAAAATAAAGTTTATAGCCGGAAGCCAAGCCAACATAGGTAGTCGGAGTGTACCAGCCCGAGAAGCAAAGGAACCAACAGTCTGCATACAGATAAGCCAGATATGTCAAACTAATGTCTCAAGGCCTGGAACAAGACAACAGTCCAACTAAAACAACCCAGCAGAGTTGACAGCCCGTGAACACGAAGAAGAACACACACACACGACCTTACAATGTAGTGTGAGTTTTCAGCATCATCTAAGGTAGCGAGAATTTCTCAAACTTTCTTCGCCGCGGCAGCCTTGCAGGGCAAACTTTTTTTTTTGCGGCACACCTACCCTCAAAGCGGTTTGACTAATTAGGAAAAGAAGAAGAAGAAAAGAAAAACAGTTATCTTTGTTGGGTTTTTTTTTTCAACGGATCAACATCATGAGACACGGGTGTAACCCATAAGTGCTCCGTTCTGCTTCTAACTCAAGTCTGAGTCTGAAGAAGCTCAGCAGAGTGCGAGAATTCTCAAATACTCTGGGTAGATTTTTAACTCAAAATTTTGGGCTACGCTTTTTCATGTCCAACTTCCACGTTATTTTTTTTTTACGTGCGGAACAATACACACGGGCGTCCGGTCTGACTACCCAGAGACCAGGGGAAATTACTAGAAGTCCAGGTAAAAATAAAATCTCAGCCTTCACCGGGGTTTGAACCCAGGACCTCTAGCACTCAAGACCACTCAGCCCCCTTTGTCTTTAATGCGATAAGTAAAACTGCATCAATTTTTAATTGTTCCTGTATGTTTATTGGAAGTTTTAGTTAACTGTACTGTTACTCAAATAACTGTGAGGAAGGGGGAAGGCACTTAGACGCCTCGAGGTACCTTGGGGCGCCAAGCGGTCTGCTGTCAAACTGCCAGCAGTAGGAATCAAACCGAGAATGTTGGAAATACACCTGTTTTTTTTTTTTTTGCCACGTCTCAGCCACAGACAGTGAGACACGATGTTCTACAGGCCAGTAAAACAACTTGGGTAGTTTTCTACACTCAATTAGCAGCTGCCAGGCGCGGTTATGTCGTTGGTGCTCTCACTTCATAACAGTGCAATAAAACAATATGGGCACACCAGTGCGGCATGGAGGATAAGCTTCCACCATCTCTCCCTACCCCGTGTATAAGTGTTTTTTTTTTTTTTTTCTAAGTGTTTCTTGATACGTTTACAAATATCTTCGTCTTCTTTTGCGTCTTCTTAGCATTCACCGGTTGCAAACTTCGGCGGAAAGTTCTGGTTGTTCATCCACTCCTGAAATTTAATCATCATCCAGGACTTCAGATTTGCGTGCACATCCGCTTTTCAGATCTTGCTGATCTGTGTGCGTACTGTTGTTGTCCATGACTCCCAGGCTGAAACACTTCGACTCTGAAGGAACACCCATAATTAGCCACCTCATACCTCATGTTTCTTGGGGAAAGGGGTGAGGGGGGGGGGGGGGGGGCGGGCGGGGGTCTATCCTGTGTTGTCCAAAATCGAGCTCTTGAACCCAAACTTTATTATTAATTATTATTATTATTAACTTCCATAAGCCCAGTATCAATGCTTAAGCTCCGTGAAAAAGCTAAATAAATCCTATAGGGATATACGGATGTGGATCAAGGACAGTTAGTAAAGTAGTGAACACTTATTTGAAAGCTGCGAAGATGTGGTTTTAAAGACGAATGATGAGAATGAAGATAACAAAAGTAACGAAGACGTCATGAAAGGAACTGACTCACAGAGAGAACTGATTGCCCACATCAGAAAGAGACAATCTACATTCTTTAGTCATGTGATGAGAAGGAGAAAACTGGAGTGCATCGTGACAGTAGGAAAGTTGGAGGGACAGAGGGAGACCCAGAGAACAGATGCTGGACAGTTTGACATCATGGCATGGAGGATCATATGTGTCTCAGTTGATGGATAGTAACACGAGACAAAAGGTTGTGGACAGACATGACTACCATCGCCACACAGCAGGGGATTTAAGAGGAAGAAGCCCCATGAGCACCCCCTTCGCAAACTGGACAATCTTTAAGGAGCTAACAATCTCCCTTCCCCTATTTGTGTGTGTGTCTCGCTCTGTGTGTCTGTGTGTGCGCGTGCGTGCGTGCGCGCGCGCGTGTGTGTGTAGACGCCATTGACGCTCATTTGCAAACCAGCCCAGAATGTAAGATTGCCAGCACCAGCCGATGCATCGACATTCCAAGTTGGCACATATGCAAATGTTGATGTGGGCACACCACGCAAACACGACACTGTCACTTGGTGTAATCACCTTGTACCAGCACGAGGTCCCTGCGTGATCCATCCGTGCATCGGATATCGATCAGCTCAAACTTTTCGATCTGCACCTTGTGAATTCGCCGCTCACCCAGAGAAATCGATATACCGGGGAGAAATTACCATCACTTCATTTCTGCCGCCTACAAACGTATTCATCCGCCTATC